GTTGATTCCCTGCGATCCTGACCAGTAGTGGATGATGTTGCAAGCAGCGGAGATTTCAAAAGGCAGGACAGTGAGCCAGCTGATAGCGTACTGCCATCCACAGGCAAAGCCCCAGGATGGATCGATGAATCGACAGATGTACATGGTGAAGGCTCCGTTGATTGGATACATGACTGCGAGTTCAGCCAATGCCTGCATCATCAAGTACATCATAATGCCGATGAGGGTAAATCCGATGATAACAGAGGCTGGTCCACCAGTGACGAAGGATGAGGCGGAACCAATGAATAGACCGGAGCCAATGGCACCACCACTATAAAGCGTGTTAGTCGCAGTAAAGCATAGTTACTCCGTCAAGGAGTGTTCGCAGAGACTGACATGGCGATCATTTGCATATGACGACCCTTCAAGTCCTTCCTGAGCTCATTTTGATCAGAAATGACAATAGCGACATCCTCGTCATTGGCACTGAGCTGATTTCCTTTGGTGTGATCCCCCAGGGAGTAATGCGCTGGAGGCGGATCGCCATAGTGATTCTTTTCCGTCTCGTGCGCGAGACTCATGGTGGCGAAAACGTGATAAGAACCGGCGAGGACCTTGTGACACTCAGACGGAGTGAATACGTCAAAAATCGCAGACGATTGGAACGTCGAGCGGCGATCAAAGAAAGGAGGCCAAGATGTAGGGCACAAGTGAAAGATGCGAGGTGTGCGCGAGACGCGGTAATATACTCGAGAAGAGAGCTCGCGGCTAGACAATCAGTGGCGGGCATTTGGTGGCTGCATTCGCGCACAGGGACTGAGCCTATCTTCGCCCACAAATCACTATGTCAGGCCCTCTCGCACGGCGTTCAGCACTTAATTGGTATAGTACATGCACCCTCGTAAGTCTAGGGTTACGCCCCATGTTGTCATGCAACACAATGGTAGACTGACGGATCCGGGGCCTCCGTGAGTGGTTGTGAAGTTATGTTCCAATGCCTTGGGTGGCCTGGATGGCGATGTCGCTTCCAAGCAGGAATGAAACAGTGCTTCTGGCGTCTCTTTACTGCACACCATACTTTGGCTTCAAGCGCGTTCGCGTGGCGGACCACCTGCTGGGATCCCAGGGTAGAGTCAGGGGAACGAATATCAGCAGGTCTGGAAGAGTACCAATGTCGGACCTTCTGTGCCTATCTTAGCCTGCGACGTATCTACTTGCGCAATCGCGTAACGCCCAAATATCGCTCAAACCCCAACACGTTATCAATGAACCGCTCAGCCACATTAGGCGCTAACGTACGCTACAGGCACGCTAGCTGATATTCGGGCCACTTGTTTCTGATAAGAAGTCGCTAGCGAACGCTTCGACGCATCGAAGAAAGCTTGCACAAAGCTTGTGTGCGGGGTCGCTCCAGACTCGCACGTGGAGTGCACTTGTCGTAGGGTCAGCGGGGCGCTGTTTGAGAGAGGACATGATGGATATTGTATGTTTAGACGGTTGCCTGACGCAAGAACCTCACATATCAGATGGAGCAGGATACGTCTAGTCTACCAAACACCCATCTTCGCTTCGTGGTGCGTGTGTGGAGGCTCACGTAAGATCGGGATTCGCCTTGTGACGAAAGCCCACCTCTACTTTGCGACCCGAGACGAACTGCTAAAGCTATTAGGTACAATGCAACAGACGTGGTGGGTAGCTTCTGGAAGATCTCTATCCCGAAAAGGAAGGTGGTCTGGAGGGCTTGCCGCACATGTTGGATTGGTTAGGCAACTCGAGGCTCGGGGTTGCGCGGCTGATTTTCCGGAATCATACCGGTCAGACTATGAAGTGCTATTGGATTGTATTTATTGCAGCCTCCTTCCTCTTCTTGTCGCTACATGTCTGTTGCTTTAGGTGCAGGATTACGCTGTTGGAGTCTCCTACGAAGTGCCTCATCTGCGCATGGTTTAGTTCGTTCACGTCTCAGGCTCGCTATATGCCTAGCAAGTTCTGGATCTCAATCCTCTGAACCGGCTCTAGAATGGTCGAATTTGCCACCTGTCCTAAGACTCCGGTTACCGCTCGTTCGGTACAGCTATCTAGGGTTCCCGAAGACACCTGAGCGGGAATGCACACCACAGCGTACCCAAAACAGCACTACAGCAGACCCCAACTCTGACAGGAGAACCGATTCTGTTGGATAGAGATGCATTCTCATTAGGCGCGACGACTGGCTGTGGCTGGCACTGGCTTTTTGCACAGTTCACGAAATGTGTGTCTCCTAGAGAAGGCGACAACAGGCCCATTGGCGAGCCTATTGCAATACTCTATGTTAAAGGTTACCACGTAAAGGAGGACTGAAGAAGTACTTAAGTAGGAATTGTTAACCCCGGGGAGAAAAGCTAAAGGTAGGTCAGCGGTTACGAGCCATAATCCTTCAACGGGTAGCTTATCATGTTATTCAAATTCGGTGTTGTACTCTCATTAGCCTATGCCATGCTGCATCGCAATCACTGAAGGTTAGCGCCAGCTACGTCAAGTTACCAATCGACCAACGCTGCTTAGCGCCGCTTAGCGCCGACGCGGAACTTGCTGCAACTTAATGGATTCAAACGGGCCGCGCATTGCTTAACTTCAAAATGTTGCTGCTCTCTACCTCTGAGATGAGTGCTGGAACAAGTGCTAACCCCATCAACTCCCTTGTGCGTGTCTCCACAACACCTGAGCTGTGCCGCAATGCTACGTCGCCAGGCTGCTAGCTTCGACCAACGCTTCCCCTTTTGTTGCAATAGCTGCCTTCCGCGTCTCTCTTGAGAATGTGTTTTAAGATCACGCAACCCAGTCACTCTTCACCTCCTGGTGACTCGCGTCACCTCTAGGCACTTATTTCACCCCCGCACGTGTGTGTGAAGCAAATATTGAGCCATCACGATATCATCCGCGAACGCACGTCCGAGACGGATTATCACATGTCCAATTCGAGCATTTTTCAAGGAATTCACTCACTCATCATCAAGCAATGTTGCATTCCCGCAGGAGAGTTGAATTCATGGTGGTAGCAGTGTTCGTGCTCTGCACATGGTTTCTGTTTGACGCCCGTTTGAATCGTGTTCAAAAAGAGTCTGTTGAGGCTGGCGGTGTGGAGAAGCCGAAGCGACTTGAGACAGCAGAAGTAGAAGGAGAGCGAAATATACTTGGGCAAGGAATCACGCATGGAGGCACGAAAGAGGAAACATTGTCGACCTCCACCACCTCTCACCACACAAGCACACTGACGAAAAGCACTGCGGTCGCGACACCTAGCACATCGCTACCTGATCGCGTCGTGGTGATGGCTAAGCTTCCCACCGACGACACACGGTGGGTGCATACCGACCTGGGAGACTGGCAATCAGCTATCTACGACATTGACACGGAGACTCCGCACAACATATCCACCCTGGATCCGCTCACTAACAGCACTCTACGTACCCTTCGGAACAAGGGCATGGAAGCAAATGCATACCTCGCATACATCGTACAGAATTACGACAATCTCCCTTCAACGATAGCGTTCATCCATCCGCACAAAGACGGCTACCCCATCGCTTGGCACACCGACAATAACGAGCATTCCAATGTGATCTCTCTGCAAACTCTCAACATCGACTTCATTCAGAGCAACGGATACGCGAATTTGCGTTGCGTCAACGATCCTGGCTGTCCGCACGAAGTGATGCCGTTCCGTGATCCGCCTGAGGAGCATCGAACAATCGAAGCAGCGATGCCAGATGCGTGGCGAGACTTGTTCAACAACACCGATGTACCGCACGTGCTGGCGACCCCTTGCTGTGCGCAATTTGCCGTATCGAGCAGGCAAGTGCAGAAGCGACCATTGGACACATACAGAAAATATTACACGTGGTTGATGGAAACTCCACTGAAGGATGAAACAAGCGGACGTGTTTTTGAATATCTCTGGCACATTATGTTTGGTCAAGAACCTGTTTAGTAAGCATTCGACGAAACAAAATTGGGTTGCGTGGCTGCTAATCTGCACAAGCTGTCCCACATACGAGAAGTGTTATTGCGATGTATACAACAGATGTTGAGAATTTTCTCTTCCGTTCACGGAACAGATAATCTGAGTACATGTTGGCGACATTTTCGATCGTCTCAAGTCAAGTCGATTTGGGATTTCCGACGGGCATTCAAGTTCTCGTCTATCATACGAAGCTGCGCCGCCGGCTCTGTCCGAAGACGATGTATATTAACTGAGTACAAGTCGATACTTCGGATATCGGTCTTAAGCCACAAGAATACCAAGGGCTACAGATAATGCGCATGACATAAACACAACCATGCGCATCATACCTGTCATTGTGATACGCAGCATACTGCTACCTTGTCGGCAGAGTGCTCCGTAAGTCGCTTGGTATGTAAGCGCCAAACGGAAGGAATGCTAAAGATGCCAGATTTGGAAGGCGAAACACAACACTTTGTTGCATTTATGTTGATCTTCGTCGCCAATTCGATCTACTGCGCCATGTGTATGCATCGGGAACCATTACGGGTTTTGGGAGCCATGTGTTAACATATTTTGACACTTGCCGAGCGAGAAGTGTCTTTGTCCGACCGGAGAGGAATAGTAAGAAGCTGGGCTTACGTCGGATCGATTGAAACGGCTAAGCTGAACCCTCGTGAGAGCTCGTCAGCAGATGTTTCATACATTCCCCAATCCACAACCATTTCCAATCCCCTTCTAGACATGCGGGACTATCTTCGTCATGAATAGGGGTGTAGGTCATCCCCTGTACCTACACTAACGTTCCAATCTGCAAGGCATGGTGTCAGTGCTGTACTATGTTATGCATAGTCCTTCGAGTCGTGATTAGTTCCGCTGAAAGATGCCAACTACCAGAACAATGGCTTCAAAGAGCGATATAAAAAGGTATTTTCTCTCCAAAGGAAAGAAAGCTTCGCAATCTTTCTTCGATACCACAGCTTCATGGCGAAACCTCATCAGGACAATTATATAATATACTCGTCACGCTAACATCATGTCTTCTTCTGACGAGAAGTCCGAGACTGGTGGTAGCGACAAGACCCCCACCCCAATGGGCAAGTCAGACGTTGTTAGGATACACTCTACTCAACCAGGTCATTTCGCTCTGTCAAGTCAAGGCGTTTACAGTTTCCGATGCTCGTTCTCGCTTCGCGCAGGCCAAAAGCGGCGGCGATGTGTCTTCGGGTGGCTTCGCTGCACGTGCTCAGGGTGCTGGCGATTGCAACGCCAACGCTGGCAGCCAGCAGGGTACCGGAGAAAAGAAGTGAAAAGGTACTCAAGATACACTCTAGGAAAAGTCATGAACAGGAAGCAACGTGCTTTGGTAAACGAGGACTCGCTGGATGTATTCAGGCTGTCTACATGTCAGGTTATACAGCGCTGGGACTAGTATGAATGCATTTATATGACTGTCAGAAATATGCTGAAATACTATGTTTCACCCGCAATCATAGTCCATACAACATCCTAAACTCATCCCGACCTCGAAAGACCTCATCTCCTCCTTTACCATTCATCGCTTAGATATACTGGACAGTGACTTGGGATCCACTGTTGATGGTAACGTCAGTGTAGACAGTGCTACCCTGCTTGAGATCGATGATGGTAGCGCTGCTCAGTCCGTCCGATCCACCAGTGCTAAGAGCAGCACTAGCCTGGGTGAAAACAACAGTGCCAAAGTTGCTCAATGCGACCAAGCTGCCTCCAGACTCAAAGTCCTCTACAATCCACTCAGCGTTCTGACGGCACAAAACGGAGCCGCTTGGTGCGCTAAGTGTCTGGCTGACACTCTTTCCAGTGCTCACATTAGTGAGCTTGACCGTACCCTTGGTGGTGGAGGTGGCGGTGATGTCGACTTGAATAACGTTTCCCGCCTTGACGGCGAAGTTGCTGAAGTCGTAGGCGTAGTCAGGGTACCACTCGTACCAAGCATCGTAGGACACAGCGCCGGAGCTGCTGACGGTGAAGTCGATACCGGCCTGGAGCAGACCGCTGGCACATGAATCGCCGTCGATTCCAACCCAAGCTGACGCGGACTCGGTTCCACCAGAGCCAACGTGCTTGGGTGTTGGTACTGTAAAGCGTCCGGTGGCTGACTTGAAGTAGCCGGAGGAGGGCTGTTCGAGAACGGCGCCAGACCAGTTGGATGAATAGTCAACGTGGGCAGTGGTGTTGTCTACATCAGCGACGAACTTGGAGTTCTCTTTCGCGGCGGTGCCGACCAAGATCATGGGCTGGGTCCTGTGACGACGAGTGCCATCGGCGCGAGACTTTACGCGCTCGGCGAGGTTTGAGGGACGGGCCAGGACTGCGCCTGTGATGGCGGCGAGGACAGCGATAGAAAGCTTCATGTTGAAGGATGAGTGAACTTGAGACTCGAGAACGAGAGGCGAAGAGAGCGAGGATGTTTAGGAAGCGATGGACTATTGGAACTTGCTGCGTTGATAAGTCTAACAGCGGCGTTTGACGCTCCTTATATATTTTTCAGGCTCAAGTCCGAACACCATGTTGTATATATTCGCCCCGTTTCGGTATACGATGGCGCGATAGTCCAGACTCATTACCTGATGATACCTTCCTGATATCCACTGGTCAGGTGCAAAGCTATCCAGCTAGATGCGCCCTTCTTGGTGGATTGGAAAGCGGCCTACAAGATCAATCAGGTCAAATGCCGAGATAGAGATCACTAATTGGTAGCTTGACTTATCCATTAGAGCGCTTTCGAATTTTGAGATCGGTGTATTTCCGGACGGTACAAGGGTATGGTAGAACATTCTGCATGTGTATTGGACCAGTCGATATCAGAAGACCTCTGTGAGCGAACCTTCTTGTGTATGGGTCGAGGTCCACCTATCAAATCACTCAGATGTTCATCAACTGCACGAGACAGTGTCCGACTATGCGGTCGTAGTGCTTGCATCTACAGGTCCTCCTGCCTTTCTGGGAAGCTATCCGAACACTCTGTTGAAACCACCATTGCGGGAAACAGAAGTGTGACGGGGACGTTCGTATGCTGCGCGATGAACTCGTAAAATCTTCGGAAATGCTACAGGTTCTTACCACATAGTAGAAATCGCAACCTCAAGGTTTTCGCACCGCTCTCTGTCCACGATGTAAACTCATTCCATACCAAACCTCGGTCTTCAACCACATCGGATTTCGCAATCGCTAGTACGGACACGCCCGGCGCATAGACGGATGGCACTTGTCGCGTAGGCATGCAGGATATATTAACTGCATCAGAAGCTTGTCGTTGCTTATCAGTTGGCGTGCACTTGGCAAGGGTTGGTGCGGTGCTGCTAGTCCGATATAGGAAGTTCGTGATAGTTGACGCCCGGGATGCGTGAGTGAGGTGTGCCTAGCTCGACTCTCGCCAAGATAGCTTGTAGAAGCTTGTTCGTGGTCGGAGAATAGGTCGAGTTGAGATGGTGTGTTGAGCGTTGTTCGAGGCTTGTTTGAGGAGGGACGAAGGCGCAAAATAACACAAAATTGCGCTATCGATTTTAGTGGGGCCTTTACGTTTGGGTTTCTGGGCACAGCCCAAAGCCATCAGCGTAAAACTTTGAACTCTGTCCACAGGTTGAGAGTCCATCTAGCTTAGATGGGAGGAAGATTCGGTGTGCGAAGCATGCTCGGTCTACTCGACACAGATGGCACAACGGAAAGCCTGTGACGTAGCATGGTTTGAGGAGAACGATGTGCCCAGGAGATCGGACGGCTGGATGTCTATCTGATCTTGGAGCAATACGAGGATGAATTGTACTTTTTCGAGGAGTCAGGTGCAACCTAAACCAAGCAGCTAAGGAGATGAAAGAAGCTCCGGAAACAGAGCTAATACTAAGGGACTGCGGGAAGTGGAAACGACAGTTATGTCAACATGTTATGAGAAGTGCGGAGTCAAGTCATTGGATCACAGGTAGCATAGGCACAGGTCAAGTAGACGGGAAGGTTACAATGACTTTTCGAACTCCATTCGTCGTGAATGCTATATTTACATCAAAAGAAGTGATAGCCGATCTCGCGGTCTACTTAGAAGAAAGGTATGGGGGTTTCCCATCAAAGAAGATACGTCTCAAAAAGGTCCAACCATGAACACCAGTTCATGCAAGAAAGATCGTCTTGCGACCGTTATAGAAGGCGCTTACAAGTGGAAAGCGCGGGCGTGGCGGCGAGCCTTGGAGGCAGAGGAGCCAGTGGTGGTCTTGAGCCACTGGATGAACTGCTCGATGGTGAAGGTCTCGGGGAGAGCAGAGCCAGACTCGCTGCCAGAGGAGGGAGCAGCAGGAGTGGCAGCGGGCTTGGTGGCAGAAGGGGTGGCGGGCTCGGCCTCCTCAACGGGAGAGGGAGTGGCGGAAGGAGCGGCGCTGGAGGCTGGGGAAGGAGTAGCAGAAGCAGCGGGCTTGGAGGGAGTGGAAGGAGCGTTTCCACCGGTGGAGGCACCGTCCCAGACCTTGGGGCCGGGGACAGTGTACTCGGTAGCACCACCGTAGATGTTGAACAAGACACCGGGGTCGGTGGCCTTGTAAGCCTTGGTCATGTCGACACCGGTGGCGGGGAGGGAGGCAGAGCCGCTGCCGGTGACCTTGATCTGACCGCAGCCGTTGTAGAACTGAGCCTTGGCCTCAGCGCTGGCCTCGTGGAGACCGATCATCTCGGGGCGGATGAGGTAGTCACCAGCCTCAAGGTCGGGAAGGGTGACCTCGACGAGACCCTTGTTGGCAATGAAGTTGTCAACACCCCACTTGCCACCGGAAAGACCGTCCTCCCAGATCTTGGTCCAGACAGCGCCCTCACCGTTGGTGTCGGCCTTGGCGATGTAGACCATGACGGGACCCTTGTGCGAGGCAGCAATGGGCTCGTCACCGTCACCAGTGGTAACGGGGTCGTTGTGGTGCCATTGCATGCCGATCTTGGAGCCAGCAGCAACCTCGACCTGGTCAGCGGTAGCCTTGCCACCGTTGCAGATCATGGCAGTGGAGGTGACATCGAGGATGGGGTTGTTGCCGTTGGAAGGAGTCTGGACGGCGAAGTGCTGACCCTGGTCCTTGCCGTCAATGACGAAGCTCTGGAAGGTGGTGTGCGCAGCAGCGAGGTTGGCAGCAGCCAGGATGATAGCGGTCTTGGTGAACATGTTTGCGGTTGTTGTGTTGGTTGGTTGGTTGGATTGCAAAAGTTGAGCGTATCTTCAAAGATAGAATAAGAACGAATGAATGATAGACGAATGGATTGAAAGTGAGTGTAATGCTAAAGAGCGTGTGAAAGTGAGTGTCAGCGTCAAGCTTGATGCCCTTCCAACGACGATGGCTTCTGTTTCTCTTATACTCCTTCCGCCTACACGGCACGTTCACGCCATGACAAGACTAGTGCCCTTACTGACAGAGTCCTGACAGCGCCAACAGCATGAAACCCGGGTCTGTGGATTGATGCCAAGCACCTGTCAATCTATTCCGCGCCGCACTAGCACCATAAGCGGAAGCGTGGCTTCGTTTAGCTGCCGCAGAACGTTGAATCGAGGCTTTGTCCGCTCCCACGACCCATAATATGTGATGAGGTATTGTCGGGGCGAGATTTGAAGGCGTCGCCTCCATGCATGTGCCTGGAAGTGGCCTGTACGACATCCTGAGCGTCGAATGACGGGAGAGCCTCATGGGAAACGTGAAACCATGTCGGAAAAGCTTGAGCGGTTGAAGTCTGCCATCGTGCCGCGGCGTTTAACGAAACGTCATGCGGTGAAGCGCCAACATGTTGTTCAGTCCATACCACCCGCTGCACACTGCATCAACATGTTCGCAGTTGATTGTTTGCTTATGCCATAACGTTCTTTCGGGAACTGATTGTTGGTCGTTGCTGCATGGTTCCTCACAACAGCAAGGCTGCAATAGGCAATCTCCCTACTCTTCACCCTTCGTGCTACCGGCCTACAATGACTCTCATATTTGATGATCCAATCTTCTAGAACCTGCAGTGCTTGGGGACGCAACCTCGGTGGTGGGGCGAATTGTTCCGCGAAGGGTGTGTTCGTTCGCGAGACGACATGAAACGAAATCCTTTAGTGGGGGAGATTGCGCGCCAGTGCCTGCCAAGACAATGGTGATGTTTCGACACTTCCGAGGCTTTCATGGAACAACACCGTTTCCCGCTTGAGTCGTGACGCTCTCTTTTCATGGCGGTGCTCAACATGAGAAGAACCACCGGTTATAAAATCTCTTCGCATGAACAGTCAAAATGCCGCAGCCCGTGCCTCGCAATGCTGTCAAAGAAACCGTCACTGGACGGTTGAAGAAGAACGCGGCGCTTACATGACGCGAAGCCTATTCCTGCTGTACGTTGTTTTTACTGTTGGTGTGGGGAGGGCGTTGCGCCGATGCACGACGCTGTGTAGTGGCGTTGATGAAGGATTATCGCGCCCGCTGTGGTTACCTGGCCCCAACGAAATGCGGGAGTCTTTCTAGCTTTAAGTACCCGTCGAACGATCAAAATATGCTCAATAGTTCTCATTGTCTACCAACTATCCCAACTTCTGGGAATCGGCCGTTACGGGGGTGCGCCACGTCTAAACCGATGCGCCCGCTCATACTTTTAGTTCACTCGCCACCAGAGGAGATGTATTGTTGTTTACATCGTCGCGACGCCATCGTATGTCTGCCGCCCAGGATGGATTAAACGCCGATAATTACTTGTTGTACACGTGGTATCTCTTGCTAGCAACAACCCAGGAACGCCCTTTCAATGCTCATTATACTCATTAGTAGACCGCGAATCCATGCCAAGGACCAAAGAACTTGCTGTGCTGTCTCAAGCAAAATATGAATAAAGGACCACGACGACTGCAGACACCATGGACCTCCCGTACGTTGAGTGCGATGCTGTGCCCTCCTTTTTGCCAGTCGCTATAGCCTCTCCGTTGGGCCTACTGCCCCCTACACTCGCAGCCGCACTGCTAGTGACGCTTTGGAGCCGTGTTGTTGTAGCGGGAAATAAAGCACTTTTTGTGGTGCGACCTGAACTTCCGTAAATCAATTCTGTAGCTCCCAGCGCAAGACTGATGGTGGTTCCGTCGATAGTAATTGTGCCGCCTGGCGTCAATGTCTGATCGCCAATGATGAATGTTGTTCCACTGCCAGATCGTGCTGTGTACGTCTGCGAACCGATAGTAAGTAATGGCGGGTTGGTGATAATCGGCTGGATCCCGGGCGAGATAAAGCTGGTCTTTCCGTTGATGGCCAGAGCAGTAGCTCCGTGTGCGAGGGAAATGGTGGTACCCGAAACGACGATAGACCCACCTGCAGTGAGCAATATCGAACCAATTAGATATGCAGTACCAGTCCCTGGAAGCGGTCTAAAAGTCGCA